TCGAAAAATATAATTTTATAACTTAGAAAATTTTTCTTACCTCAAACAAGTATATAACAAAATTTTATATATAATAATTTATTATAATTTATAAGATATAATAATAAATATTATTAATTTTTAATACAAAATTACTCTTAAACATATATTAAAATAACTGTCTGTAATTAGTTCTATGATATGTATTGAACTACAGCTTGAAAATGTATTAGACCGACACTATCATTACATTGTTTAGTTTAAATTTTCTAATGATTTCAAGGGTAAATGTATTGAAACGTTGTAAGAGATTATATATATATATATATATATATATAAAGATACTAAAATAATCACCAAGAGCCAAGTTGTATTTATCTTAAATAGTTAAATTGTGTGCGTGTGACATGTTGTGTTGAGTTTTTATATATAAATTCAAATGTTTACGATATAACCATTGAACAATTCATGATTTATTCACTAAATTAAACTCTTATAAGTATCAGAGTCTATTTCTCGTTCCCTCTCAACTGAGTCTCGGTGACACTTGCAATGTTATTCGATATCAAATGATAGAAAGTATATATATTATTATGATTTTGTTATTATAAATTTAACAATAACTTATAAATATTTTAATAATATAATTACTTATTTAATACTTTTTGTCTTTCCCTATTCTTTTCTATTGTGTTACATCATTCATTATATTTATCACTTATCACTCTTCGTTTCTACTAAACTGATTTTATAAAAATTAGCTTAAGTACCACTGACCAATCAAAAATTATAAGAAGTAACTGAAAAGGACAATCAATGAACAAATCACTAAAAACTGAAATTTTCTAAAATATGAATTGCGATGGTTAAATTTGTTAAGTAACTTTTAATATATGAATGGTAATTTTTAAAAGAAAAGTCTTAGCACCATTAAACATGTAAAGTTTTAAGTTTTGCGTTACAAACTTAAAAGAAAAAAAAATATTGATACTATGATACTTTTAAATTTAATATTTTTTATAAAAAATTTCAATGTAATCATTACATAAAATATTGTTTAGAGTAGGTGATAACCTATAACTTAATATGAAGTTAACTGACCGGTCAAGCTAAAAAAAAAAAAAAAAAGACTTTGTTTATTTTTTTAGCATTTAATCACGTTTAGAATTGGGTCGCTTATAAAATTTAAAAGAAATTGTAATTAATTTTAAAAACTATTGCTTAAATTTTTTACTAATTTAATTTTTGATGTTCAATATCTATATTATTAGTTTTTTTTTTAATCAAAATTTTAAGTCACTTGAATGTGAGATCTTGGTCCTGAGCCTGTTATTAATTGGCCATGATTAGGTAAATAGTTGATATTAAGCAATTGTGTCTTCAATTTTTTTTGAGCCTATAAACGTATTAAGAGGAATACAAGGAATATTCTAACTTTTATTCGAAAGATTTATGTCAACTCCATTGTTGAACCAGCCTCAATAGTATTTAAAACGGGACAATAAATTAATACACCAATTAAAAAAAAAAGGAAAATTGATTCCATAATCTTACCAAATTCTAGAACCAAGACTTATTTTGATTAAATTTAAATCTTTGACTTAGTCAGGCTTCACCCTCTGAAAAATAACCTAATTTCTATGTAATCGCAAGAACCAAATAACTGCTAGCCAAAATATTTTTTTCATGTTTATTTGATTTAGTTTTTAGTTCTGATTCCACAATAAGACAAGAAGTGCAATTTGTCTTCTCAAAGAACCATAGAAAGAACCTAACTAATTATAACACTCCAACTAGATTCTGTTATGAAAAGTGATTTGAAGATTCAGGTTTAGATGGACAGAAAACAGAATTAACATCGTTCAAATTTAGCAATACACCTGTTATAATACATGTAAAGCAAATTTGGCATGAAATCCTGTAAGTTATAAAGAATAACTTAAAATGAGTATTATGTCAGTAAAACGCATCTCAATCATATTCAGAATTTGTTTCTTCTTTATAATATATTTGGAAGGTAAATTTTGAAGAACAAAGGAGAATAACTTCCATTTTTAATAAGAAATTTCTAATTTTATGTTTAAAAAATAATGTGATAAATTAATAAAAAAAATTGGATGTATTAATTAATTAATTATTTTTATAAAACTATGTAATTTAATTTAAAAGCAAAATGTGTATTTTTTCTATTTTTATTTAAATTTTGAAATATATTGTTTATGATGTGTTTGAGTGAGAAGTAAAATAGAGAAAAAAAAATAATAGTTTGTACAATAGAATGAAAAGATGTATCATTTAGATAGATTAAAATAAAAATTTTAATTTTTATTTACATGAGTGAAAAAATACTAAAAAAATAAATTATATTAAAAATAATAAAAATATTTGTAACTAAAAAATAAAATTTTATTGTTATATTTTTCTTAATAATTTTTAATTCCTAACTTATATAAAATTTATTTAATAATTTATCAAAAATTGCAAAAAATATCCATAGTTTAGTCTTCCCTGGTTTTCTCAATTTAAGATAATTTTATTTTGAAGTGGGTCTCAAAAGAAAAATAAAAATAAAAATCTTCCCCCACTTTATTTTTCTCATCCAAACATTTAACCTTCTTCAATTTCTTCCTTTCTCCATTCAAACATGTAGTTAGTCTCAAAGCCTTGCAAACTTTTCCTCAAGATTAATCTAATTTTCTCCTTAAATTTAAGTTGTTTCTAAGGCTTTGTTTAATTTAAAAAGAACAAAATAGGTTTGAGATGAGAGTGGGGAGAAAAGGAGACTAAATTCTCCTCTTATTTAAATGTTAAAATAAAAGAATGAAAAAAAAAAACAGAAATTTTTAAAAAATATATCCAAAAAAACTTTAAATTAACATTTTCTCCTCACTTTAGAATATATATATATATATATATATATATATATATATATATTAGTTTAAATTGCAAACGAAAACTTACTAAATATTTCACCCCGGTTGAATTCCTTGGCTCATTAGCAATACTATTTGACTCCTTCAATGATCTCCTTGTAAGAGTGGATTTCCAGTAATAACCAAACACACTTCCCCGTCATGACACCCTAATTAGTGATGATCCAATCCTTAATTCAATTCACCACACTTCAATTATAGCTATGGATGCCTAAGTAGGAGGAAGTTTCCCCTTTTGAACTCATAGGTTAGGTCAGTGCAAGCTCTTGACCACCCCTTTTTCTTTCTTGGTCTGATCCTCATATCCTTATGTAAATAAGTATTATAAATAATTTGTGATATTTTTTTATTGCATTATTATTATTATATTTAAAGTATAAATACAAATATTGAAATACATTATATAAATATTTTTAAAGTAATAAATTTATAAATAAAAATTAAATCATACAACATTTTATTAAAATCGAGATTGAATAAAAAAAATGTTTTATGTGGAAAATTTTACATAGTTAATAAAAAATTAACTCTTAAAAATATTTGTATTTAATAATAATGGTTGAAATTTAATATATATAGAGATAGATTATTAAAAGCACATATTCCCTTTTGGCTTTTATTCTAATATGCACACACATGTTCCATTTTATCTTTACATGTTATGCTAAAATTTCAACAAACAATATAATGACTGCATTAAAAATAGTTATAATTATAAAAATAAGGACAAAATCAAAACCTTTTTTTGAGAAAAATAAAATAAAACTAAACGAGTGATATATATATATATATATATATATATAAATATAAATATTTTGAACATTTTTTATACCATTAAATAAAATATATGTTTATATTATTAAATAATAAATAAATCTCATTTAATAAGAATCAAAGCAGACATCATTAATAAAATTAATGTTAAAAACATATCACTAACCCTCATCTTCTTACGTGTGCTATAATTTCGTTGCATTATTGTACTTGAAATATTACTAACCGTCATCTTCTCACGTATGCTATAATTTCGTTGCATTATTTGTACTTAACTTGGTTAGCAATAGAGGGTAAATGAATTAAGATATTTATGAATTATTTAAATTTAATTCATTAATCTTCTGTTAAACATTTATTTTATTCAAAATTGACTTTAAAACTTGAATTTAGCTCAAATTTTATAATTTTAATATTAAAAGTTGGTAAATAACGGGTGTATTCGTATAAAATAATAATTAAAAATTTAAATAATAAAAGAACACTTATCAAGTTATAATTTCGTTTTAAAAATAATCTTTAAATATTTTTATTCTCAATTTCTTTTGTCTTTTTTTTCTACTTGTTTTTATCTCATATTCTAACATAAAAATTTATTAAATATTAAATTATTTTTCTTGATTATTTTTAAAATATATTCAATAAATAAAAATTAAGACAAAATTAAATGACTTTATGTACCAAATTTGATAAAATACAAGTTCAATAATTTTTGTCAAAAATATATTTTATTAATTTAATTAGTCAAATAAATATTCTTATAAAATATATCTATATAATTTTTTTTTGCAGAATTTTAGTATTGATTAGTGATCATGCAACAAAATTTTAATGAATAACATTATCTAAAATATAACTTAAATAGTTATTGTTACATTGTATATTTATAAATATTTAAATAGTGCATAATTTTTTATACAAAACTTTTATGATAAGATTATAATGATTTGGATTGATAAAATTTACTTCTTATATCATTTGATTTAATTCATGAAAAAACAATCAAACTATAACTAAAACAAACCAAACACATTTTTGTCTTCCTCTTCGACTGAGTTAATCAAACTCAAACTTTATAATTTATAATATATTAAACCCAAATTTTTAAGTTAATAATATGAGTAAAATTTTCATATTCTTTTTAATTAAAATTAAGTTTTAAATATTAAGCTAAAACTCAACCGAGTTTTAACTATATCTTTTTACAATCCTAATTCCTAATGCTAAGAAGAAAACAAATGTTTACACTTGAAGTTCCAAGATTACCCTTGTCCGTTCCTCAAAATCTCGTTGTGCGAGAGCTAGCGTCCCTCACCCTGACTCTCTCTCTCTCTCTCTCTCGCTCTCTCGCTTCGCTTTCTCTCTCCGCGCGATGGAGAAAGGCGAGAGCTCCGCCACCACATCGGAACCCGACTCCGACGACAAGCACCCCACGATGCACCACCTCAACCTCCCTTCAGGTCTCACCCAACACGAGTTCTCCTCCCTCATCCCCTCCGTCACCGAGCACCACAACTACCTTATGGGCCCAGGCCAATGCTCCTCCCTCCTCGCCCAGCGCGTCCACGCGCCGCCGGACTCCGTCTGGTCCGTCGTGCGCCGCTTCGACAAGCCCCAAACCTACAAACACTTCATCAAGAGCTGCGCAGTCAAAGACCCCTTCCACATGACCGCTGGCTGCACCAGAGACGTCAATGTCATCTCCGGCTTGCCCGCCGCCACCAGCACCGAGCGCCTCGACCTCCTCGACGACGACCGCCACGTCACCGGCTTCAGCATCATCGGCGGCGAACACCGCCTCCGGAATTACCGCTCCGTCACTACCGTTCACGGTTTCAACGACGACGAGGGTAAGATCTGGACCGTGGTTCTGGAATCGTATATAGTAGACGTGCCCGAGGGTAATACCGAAGAGGACACACGCCTCTTCGCCGATACCGTGGTGAGGCTCAATCTCCAGAAGCTCGCGTCCGTCACCGAAGGACCCAATCGTGACGGTGACGGTAAGTCACACTTGCGGTGAACCATAAACCTCAAAGCTCAAACCCTTGTTTCATAAAAAAAAAAAAAAAAACGGGATTGGAATTTGAACACTCTCTCTCCCTCACGAATTCATAAAAGGAGAAAAACAAGTTTTTTTCTTCTATTTTATTTTTCCTTTATATTGGGAGATTCTTTTTTCTTTTTTAATTTGGGTGAGACTCGTATTTTTGTTTTGGAATTTTGATGATATTGTTTCCGCGCTAGCTTCTTCTTTCGCAACATGTCCTCCTGTGGATGCACCGTTGATTTTTGTTATTACAATGGGTGAGGGCATTTGTGTCAATGCACTTGTACAGGAAATGTTGACTTGCCATGTGTCTCTTTAACCGTTTTGTGAATATCATTTGCTTTTTGCTTTTCATCTTCTGGATTTTATTCCGTGTACATATCTTCTTTTTTTCCTTTTTGCTGCTATGAGTGCAAGCCTACTTAAAGAAGATGCTTCCTTCTATTCATCCTTATATTGTTAATTCAAACATCCAATGCTTTATAATTATTTTTTAGCTATACTTTCTTTCGAACTTTGCACTAATAACTAACCGCACCTCGTTATAAGATATGATTTTGGGGTTGAGAAATCCAAATGGGAATAATAGTCATAACCGTCTCTTTTCCTCTCACAAACAAGGTGTCACCAATAGTAGAATCAATTCCTTTTCTCTTTTACACTGAACATGAACATCATCTTCGTCGTATCATTCTATGTTCTTGGAGCTTGTTCACGGATTCATGGGAATAAAATTTAATTTACAAGACTTTTTATTGATTTAATTGCTTCACCTAATTTTATTTCATCTATTATGTTATTTTTCTTCTCAATTTGAAATCATGAGATCAATAAAGTGACGTTGACTTATTGTTGATTAATTTTTTTATTATTTTATCTACTTCTCAAATAATAAAGGAAGAACTTTAATGATAATTATTTTCTATTTTATTTTATACCATTTAACTTCACGCCATTTTAATCTCCCTTAATATCCAAGGTAACTTAGGAGTTGCGTTGGATATTTCTGCGACCTGAACCAATCTTAGAAAACGAATCCGTCCAAGTGATATACAATACAAGTGATTTTAAATAAAGAACATAAATTAAATGCAGTAATATTAGTATTTTTATTGTTGTTTTTCTATTAAAAAAATTCTTACATTAATTAGAAAATAACGCTAAAATTATTTATAATATTGTCCTTTTAGAAGAAAATGGTAAAACTAAAGTTAGGCAGAAATTTTATGCCCTTTGCTCATCAACATTAAGAAATGCATCGTAACACAATATTTAAGAATAATCTACATTAGGTTAAGAATAGTGCTCGATCATGTAGATGAGAATAAGGTTGTGCCATGTAAAAAAACCTAACGCTATATAACAATGTCAGGAGAGTGAGGGGACAGGCCAATGATATAATTATATAATCGATCGAGTTTGCAGTATAGGTTGGGTTTGAACTAAGTGAATTAATTTTGTGTCTAATTCTCTTGCAACTTTAGTATAAAATTAGACCAGAAATCATGTCAGAACTCCGAAGGTTCACCCAACACCCACTGTCAAAATAAAACATTAACTTGAATGTAACAAATACTGAAGTTACAACCAATTATGAGGAGGGTATAATCATAAGGTAAGCCACCCATCAGGCAGGTTCACTCACTCCCTTTGTTTCTCATATAAATGGGTGGGCATTGAGGAAAATTGAAAATAAATTGTGTCAGATGCTAGTGTGGGATATGATAATGAAGCATCTTTCTCTGAATTGCAGTGTGGAAAAGAGGAATTTCTAAGGAAGCTAAAAATTTGAGTAGGACCCTTATTCTGCCTAGTTTTGTAATCTTGCTTCCATTTCCAGCTTGAGGTTAAAAAGTGCCTCTTCATATCCTATTGAGGGAATTACCATTACCAACCCAATTCTTCTAGTTAGTTGTATACTACTTAACCATCCCTTCACAATGCTAGGGCCCCATGGTTTAGCTGCATGGTCTGGTCGCTGTTATGATGATATTGATGCCTCGTTCACTGTGTTGCAAGGAGAGATATATTTATGTGGTGGGCCTTTTGTTTTTATTTACCCTAATCTATGCAAGGTTTTTCCAGTATATATAGAGCTGGAATTATAGGGTTTTTCATGATTATATTAGTAGTGGTATATGTATATATATATACGAGTATATATATTGTTCAGGTACTTTTAGGTTGTCACTGTTCAAGGATGCTGATTCTGTCAACGTCTCCATGTTTGGTTATCGATTTTCCAGATTGGAACGTTTCACGATGGATTTGTTAGGCAACATATATATATCTATCTATATATACTCAGACAGGGACCATCGAGAGGATGGGATTGTGCCTCTAACCTCTTACATTGTTTTGTTAATCATTATCTCCCACATTCACCCTTATATAACCCAACCCGACTTAATTTGTTGCCTATAAATGCATATCCAAGATAAATTTTGCATGAATATGACTACGAATATTAGATATAATACATACACTGTGTAATATGAAAAAAAAATTAAAATATCAAGATATAAGTAGAGGAGTAAATATATTAAGTAAAATAAACTTATATTTATGTATGTTATATATATTGAGTGAAAATATTACACTAATAGTTAAATAAAATGATTATCACAAATAAATGTTCTTAAGTAAAACAACATATATATTTTTATAAATTTTAAAAATATAAGATAAAAATGTTTCTTTAAAATATCTAAATAGGTTAAAATGAAAACTAATTTAGTCATCTTTAAGTGATAATTTTTTTTAAGTCGTCTAAAAATGATTTTTTGCAAAAATTGAAACTCACAAACTAGTAGATGATAGATATGAATACAAGTATGTTATACACATATTTAAAATATCAGATAGGAATATAATACACATACATGATATAATATTTAAAATATTTGTGCATCGTGGGTCAAAATCAAGGAATTTAAGTTGATATCTTGAATTATAAATTTATGACAGGCACACATATGGAACAAGGTTTGGCGCATAAGGTTAGCCGGTAGATTAGATATGATATCGATAAATTCGTTTCAAGTAAGGTCAGCTTGTTTTGTTGCGTAAGACCAGTCGATCTTGCTTATTGTGCCTGAAAAATTCACAAGTTCATTTAATAATAGATGACAGTAGAACCTTCATTATATATATAAAAGGGTTTCTACTTTCCATCATGCATGCTTACCGCATACTAGTATATGATGCTGGTTTATGGCACCTCATATGAGATTGTGAATTTAAATCTAATACTAATTAAAAATAATAATAAAAGAACATATGAATGGTTCGATTCGTTAAGTTGTGGTAATTAAGTGGCAAGCAAGATGAGGCTTCTATGGGTTAATGATACTCGTGTATTAATACACTGAGAAATACTCACAAGATTCCTTTATATTCCACAGTTTTCGGGAATGCTCTACAGAAAGGAAGATGTTAACAATTTTGTTTGTCTTTATGCGTATTAGTCTTCAATTGCTTGGATTTAATTTGATTTATGTACATATGTAGATGAACAACTTGCATGGAAGTTGTAGCTAATTGAGGTAAAGTACAGCGCACAAATTCAATCAAACTTCTTTGCAATTGACCTCTTAGACAATTATTTGTCCCAACAACCCTGCTTTGTTGTTGGAAACTAGCATTTCATTTAGACATTCTGTGAGGTATATATATTTAGAAGAGAGATAAAGAAAAAAAAAAGTAAAAATAAATAAATGTGTGATATAATAAGAGAGAAATAAAAAAAAAAGAGAGGTGGTAAATTGGGGTGACGCTATAAATTTTTTTATAAAACAGAATTCAAAAGAATTATCAACACATTTTAAAATATTTTTTATCATTAAATCATATTTTATATTCCTTATAAAAATATTTTAAAATTATTGAATAAGCGAAGGAAATAATTCAATGATTAAAAAATATATTTTTATGTATTGACCATTATCATCGTTCCTAGGACTTGTAACATGGCTCTTATAAGTTAAATAATACTAATGAAGACAAAAATTCTCCTAAATTTTAGAGAAGGAGATGAAGCAAGTGGGACACAATTTATCATTCTTTTTAAAGATGGTTTTCAGAAATTTGGCATTGAAACAACAGAATCCTATTTGTTGCCGAATAATATGTATTAAATCGTTGAGAGTTATATAACACATCAACCATCACATTAACCATTTGTAGCAGAGTAATATGATACTTTTTTCAACAGTAATATTTATTTTATTTTTCCCTATTACATCAACCATTTATTTTCCTTCTATTTTTGTCCTTTTCTCTGTTGCACAAAAAATGTATACAAATTTATTATAATAAATAAAATTTGAAAAAATAAATGCAAATAAATAAGTCCAATGGTTGGTGAGAAGGAAGAAAAATAAAATTTTGTCTTTGTGGGGCTGCTGCAGCAGAAAAGCAACTTTTGCAATAGCTGAGGATGAGCCCTTGAACAGTTATTTTCCTGGGAAAGTTTGGTACGTAGATGTCAAAATTGAATGTATGGTCTGGCGTGTGAGACACCCCTTTTTGGCAGGTATATCCATTTATCCAATAGTGAGAGGAAAGGATTTGATTCACCCATTGACATGATGAGTTGATTGCCATTTAGCTTTAAATCATGGCCACGTCCTGTAGGAGAGTAGAGAAATCTTCCAATGCCAAACTTTCTTTTAGATCATGATGCTTATCAGTTTAATTTCTTAACTCCATAGATATGCAATCAATAATTTTCATGTCTTCAATATTTGACAAGATATATATATAAAAAAAAATCTTTAAAATATAATAATCATTATTAGTAGATAGAAGGAACTTCGATGAAGAAAATGTTTTAAAAAAATTAGATATCCTTTGATCATTTTGAGTAACATATAATTTAAATATTTTTTATTAAATATATTTTGTCTCTTTAACATAATTATATGTCGTTAGCCAACAATAATATGAAATATCTAATTCTTAAATTTATAGCAATATTTTTCTTTTTCTTTTTTTCACCAAAATTCTTTCTAGTAAACATAAGCACGTGAAGAGCACTAAACCGCATGATAAGAAAGGGCGAAGAAAGCGACCTTGCCCCTTTTGAGATAATCCAATTGGGGTGTTGGGGTGGATACAAGTTGCCAAGTTGGTACTAAAGAAAGGGGAAAATTTTGGAGATGGAGAGCGACAAGGAGGAATAGAAGCTACAAAGACTAGCTTTAGATGAGGGAAATGCTCAAATGCTGCTGTGTCTGAAGAATCTTTTTAGTCCAAATTCAAGCATTTACTTTTTCTTTTCATTTTGCTAGTTCATTATTGGCTCTTCTGTAAGGGAAAAGTAGTGGCCACAATCACAAGTAAAAGACCCCCAAAAGCCAATGAAATCAAAATGTAGGGCCAATAAAGTAAAATGGAAGTCCAATCATAATTCTTTGCTGTTTGTAGATGCCGCTGTTGCAAATTTAAGGGAGACAGATTAAATAATATTATAGCCCTTATTAAATTTATTTTTTATATTAAAACATCAATACAATTGGGAAAGATTAAAGCAAAAGCAGCACTTAAGGAAATAATTTGTGGGGGTTTAATCTTTCAAGTTTTATAAGCTCATTCTTTTAATTTTTTATAATTTCTTTTTATTTTAGCCTTGTCATAATAAGATTAAGGGTCTCTTTGTATAAATATAAGAATCTATTTTAGCAGAAGTAAAATAATTTTTCATCACCTGTGAGCGTGCTTTAATTTTCATGAATGTAAAATCCCAACCATCTATTGATGTGTTTTAAATTAATTACAAGCACTTCAAAGCATACTAAAAAATCCACTAAAATTTTTATATTAAATTAAATAATGTGCAATTCGATTAATCTCAAATAAATAGCCCTTATCGAAATCACTTTAAAAAATTAATTCTTTTAAAAATGGTTTGTAATGCATCATTAACTATATAGTAAATAAGTTAACCGTTGAATATTAAATAATAAAATAACTAAACATGCAATGGGGCCCTCTCTTCTCTATTGAGTTCTGACTATACAGAGACATCCTTTTTTCGCAAATTGAACACTGTGCGCTATCAAAAGAGCCTATTTTAGTCTTTTCAGTCATTTGTTGATAAGCTCTCAGATAAATACTCTAATAAAATTAATATTTATGTAATACCCATTTGTTTTTCATTACATTGTATTATTTATCATATTAATTATTTTTTCTTAGATATATAAATTTAAAAAATGTTAATAAAATTGTTTCCCTCTAAAATAGGATGTGTTGGTTTTTGTAACATGCGTCCTTTAAAGTTGAATCTTATCGTGTTATTGTAACGTGCTTACAACATGCAAGAGTGGCAGCATTATCCCATTCCCCTTGAATGAGCCCAATCGCATGCTTGTTTTACACAACATCTTATATTATAGATTGTAACAAATTTTAAAAAATATATAGTAATTAATAATATTAAAATAAAAATAAGTTTATAGTCATAAAAATGTAAATTTAAATATGTTTTTTAAAAAAATGTGAAAAAAATAATAAATATATAGTAGAAATAGTTTTTTAATGGATGTATAATTTTGTTAATCTTAATTTATAAATTTGAGTTTAAGTATTAAAAATAATATGTTTTATTGATTTTGTAATGTTAAATATAAAAATATAATAAACAGTCCTTAATAACAAAAAAAAATATAAAAATATAATAAACAATCCTTAACAGGATTTTATTGTCATTAATTATTTGAATGTAACTTTAAAATTTAAAATTATTTTTTTTCCGTTGGTAACATACTTGACAGATTCCAAATTAGTCATCAAATAGAGCCTTAATATTTGACTTAATTATAATTTTCAGTTTTTTTTAGAGGGAGATGGAAGGTTTCAACTAGATATTTGGGATGGCAGGGTATGAATTGAAAAGATACTCTTATGGGTCTCTTATCATTAACGTGTAATTTTAGTTTTTTTTTTTCAATTTTTCATTCATTTAAATTTAGTTTTTTAAATTTTAGTAATAACAAATATTTCTTTAAATATGTATAATTTTGCCCCCAAAATATTTATGTATAATACTTAAAAAAAAATTGCATTGCTTTTTAGTTAAAACTTTGGTTTTCTTGAGTTAGTTATTAAAAAAATTAATTTGAATAAAAATATCAAATTATCTAAAATATGACACCTAAATTTTTAAAAATTTAATTTAGTCCAGCGTGGTTTACCTCAAAAACAGTTTGCCCCGCTCTGCTATGAAATTTAACATTTTTACCAAGTTGTGACCTTTGATATATTTGTCATTTATTTTTAATGATAAATACACATTAAAAATAGTAAAATTATTATTTTATCTTCACATTGCTTAGTTCAATAGTATATTCAATATTTTTTTTAATATAATGATTTAATTATCTATAAATTTATAAATATAAAAAGGTTAATTACGATTAAAGCTATGTAAATGTCTATTTAAAAATTTAGATAAGTTATTATACTTTAAAAATTATAATAAGACTTTTTATATTTAAAACACGGATTTTTTAAGTAAGACAATAATATTTGAGATCAAATTCAAAAATACTAATTAAGTTAAAATAACTGCATATTAATTAATCTACGCGCTTAATAATAGACTTATATATATATATAATATGTTATTAATCGGTTAATAGCATGACATATTATTTTAATTACAAATGATATGTTTTTTTAACTGACTTCAAGTTTTATAATAAATAAATGCTAAAAATTAATTTTGAAGCATTTTTTTTTTTGCAACGGAACAGTTTTATTAAATATTTGGTAAAAGTATATATATTTGTTAGCAATCCTGATGTATGTATTAAAATTACACATTATTATTTATAATGTACAAAGCACTTTTATTATATATAATTTTATATAGAATTAATTCATTGTATAAAAAAAATATTGAATAACGATTTGAACTAAATAATAAATAACAACGGGGAAATAGAACACACGCAAATAATGGGAAGCAGTGCTTTTAAATCAACCATTGGGACACTAAACTATAATTTCCCTTAATTAAAAATTAGATGAAGCTGGATTAAGAATTAAGATTATCTCATTAGTGAGATATAAAAATTCACAAAAATAAAATAAAATTAATGTGTGAATATTTTATATTCGAGTAAGATTATCTCATTAAAGAAATGTTTGATTTGGACAAAAGGACAACATAATAAGAGTAGTTATGATAAAAGTATTAGCAACGTAATCAATCGGCACAAGCTACGATACCGGCGCTGCTTCCTTTTCATACCAGAACTCGAAATTATCTATCTTATACAAACAATTTACTAATATGATGCCTACGTATATAAGTTGACTTTTGTAAGGAAACTTTTTTTTTTGGGGCATGTATCACTATCTCCTGTAAGACTAAACTATTATAGAATTCCATATAATTTAATACATTAACATTATTAAATATTAATAAAAATATGCTATATATAAGTTGTTATTATATGCAACATTATTCAAGTTAAACAAACCGTATTCTTAAAATATAAATCTTAGGTACAGTTTCGTAAATATTTTTAATATTATCACGTAATTAAGATTGAAATTTTATCTTAATAATCAATACAATAAAAGTCAACATTATATTTGTTTTTAAAGAATAAATCTTTCTTAGAAAACAGCACTTCAGGTGTGCGTGAAATGATTATTTCTCCAAGCCAAATTTGATACGTTATGGAAACACAGCTTCATTCTCGATTTCATACCATTCACGTCCAACCCCGCCTTCCCAGCAATAAGCGACTCACATCAAAAGGCAAAAATGCAATTTGATGTCTGGAGAGTTGAAAACAAACTTCACAGCGAATTTAAAACCAACTAATCGGTTGAATGTATCAATAAATGCACTTCATAAAAACATCAACTTCACTGCAATATTTAAAGAATTAAAAATATTTTTATTAAATTATATAATATTTCAAGTTACCAATATATCCTTGCAACAACATTTCCTGTCCATTAAGTTCTTCGCATCATGTGTTTTTCTCCACCCATTTAAATAAAATAAGTTCAAATAAAATAAATACACAGCTCCTTTGTTCTTTTTTTCTTCTTTTTTCCGTCAGAGAAGATAGAGCAAAATAAGGAATGTATGGATAGTGAAAAAACAATAAATAAATCCCAAAAATCAGATAGAAGAAAGTCATTTGACAGTTAAACACCTGAAAGGCATTTATCAGTGTATGACACAAGTAGAACTGAGTCATCTTCAGGCCCATGTACTGGATAGCATTCACAATTGCACATGCTCACTAGTTTGAAGGGAAGAAGCATATTCGGTTGTAAACACTAAATTAATTTGACAGCCAAAAGAATCAGATCATAAGGAGGGTCCATGAGATGGTCAAAACCAGATGACAAATGCCTAATGGTGAAAATTACACATGATGATTTTAGAACGCTTCATGAGAGAGCAACAAATTCAACATAATAGTTAGTGAAGTAGCTATATTAATCTCTCACCAGCTGCTGCCCCCTTTAAAAGCAGAAATCAAATTGAAGATTTATTTCTTTATACCAAATGACACAATCTACTGTTGCAACATAAACAACTGATCCCAAGCAAAATCATTTACCAGAATATTTTTCCAAAGAAAGATTACTAAAACTACTCAAAATCAGCATATAAGCTGTGTTTCCTTCTCTTTTTTAGCTTTGTCCTCTTTATCCCCCAAAAGAGGCAGCTAAAGAAATATACCAAAAGAGCTATTAAATGAAAATACAGAACTACTTGACATACGAAAAACAAATTATGCAAAAGACGTCAACATTGTTCACTGCAAATCACATGGTAATAACCATAGGATCAGTACTTCAAAACACCTTCGATAGGAAAGATAACATGAAATTAGGTATGCATTTTAAGATGTAATCCACTATATTACAAAAGAACATGAACTAAAATACACAACAAATATTGTCTATAATCCTACTTCCCTTCAAGTTATAGTTCAGTCCTTCATCATACAGCTCCTGTCCAACTGTCCAATTGAGTTTTGTCTGATCTTCAATATATTGCCTAATGTAAAACTTGTCAAAGTAAAAGGATTGCAACCATTACGGTTGTCCACAAAAGAGAAACAAAGAAATGAGAGATGAACACTACAAGCAGCCAAAAAGATCTCCTACAACTTGATTGTACATTACATTCGAACAAACAAGACTAGACCTCTCCAGTTAGAAGGAAGCAACCCCAACAAAACATGTAAGCACAAATTGAGAAGACTAGTGATCTCTCCACCTAGGACTTGAGATGGGAAAAAAGCCTGAAGGAGATAATGGAAACGCAAGGCCTGGAGAAGGAGGTGGTTGGGGGCCAGGGCCTAAAATACCAGACTGTCCCAAGGTTGAGAATGGAAAATTGGGTGTAAGTGGAGATGGAAACTGAATGCCAGGTGACAGTAGAGGATAAGGTGACCGAGGGGACAGCAAATTCACGTAACCAGTGGGAGAAGGCAGAAGGAATTGAGAGGTTGGAGAAGGTAAAAGGGGAGGGCCATTTGCTTGTGGTGAAGGCATACCTGGCACTGGAGGGTTAGTAGCATTCATTGGAGGAACAGGGCCATTTAATCTTGGAGAAGGGAACATGAGCATGGGAGGATTAGGAAGCAAGGCAGATGAAGAAGGATGTTGAGGCTGAACATTGCCTGGTACTTGAGGTTGAGGGTATGGATATGGTTGAGGCTGAACTTGGTTACCCCTCGGACCTGGATCCATTATTGAATTCTGAAGATAACGCATATAAGCAGAGATAGGTGACTCAGTTGTATTAGACCATATATCACCCGGTGTTAACGGTTGCAAAGGAGTTGGTGATGGGTGTCCAAACTGGGCAGCTCTAGGCAAAGCATTATTGTAAGGAATTGGTGGAGGGGCAGCAGGCATTGGCATTGGTGAGGGCATTCGAGCTCGATTGATGGGCGATAACGGCGGAGGTCTAATTTTCTGTAGTCGCATACTCTGCGGCTTTGGTGGATTGTGTGGAGGTCTAGGTGAAGGATCCTGGGAGGGTGATCCAGTAAGCTGCTGAACAATATCCCGAAAATCGTTCTTGCTGATGTTGTAAACCTGAGGCTGAGGCTGTTGTCTAGCAGCATTATTACCAAAATTTGGCTGATGTAAAGGACTCTTCCTTATATTTTTCCCCATTTTGTTCACACCCAAATTATCATTATGCCTGTTTTTGGAGTTATCCATTTGCAAAAACAAATCCAAAACCACACTCCAGTGAAAAATCACCACTTGTTTTAGCCTTCCAAGAAAACAAACCAATGCTCATAAGCTTCCAAAAGATACCCAAAGCTTCAAAATCCAAACTGAAACACCACTAATCTCATAAACCAACCTAAAGAAACAATTCTTATGCACTACCTTAACAAACCAAACTTGAGCTGTAATCTAAGCATCCCTGAATTTTAAACGCGCAATCAACACCCGAAAATCCCCATTCGAATCCGCATCCCTTTATCACAAATACAAATCAATCCCACCAACATCACCGAAATTAACCCTAGAGCCGAGGTAAGAGGCAGAAAACATACCCTTTTCGAAGCTTCACAAGAAATTCAAAAGCGCACTCACGGATTGGAAGAACCAGATTCGTAAAATTAAGCAAGAATGCAACCGGATCAGATCAACAATCGAAACTATGGAAGTGGGAGCTGAGAAAAAAGAAAAAGGGAGTAATAGGAAAGAGAAGGTCCCAGAAAGGGTTATCAAGAAAGATTGAAGCTTTGGAGGGAGTAAGAGATTTTGAAAAGGGGTATTGGAAAGAGAGTGGAGCGGGATCTTTGCAAGTGGGAAAGAGGGAAAGACAAAGAAGGAGCAAGAAAACCCTAACCTAACGGTGGTGAAGAGAAGAGAAGAGAAGAGAAGAGAAAAGAGCAATGGGTCAATGGGGGAATGAATGATAAGGGCATTTTAGGTATTATCTGCGGTTGCAATTGGAGGGGTCCATGCTGCTTCATGCTGATGGTAACATGGCGGTGTGACTTCCCCGTTCCCCTTCAATGCCTCAACATTATTATAACATAATAAAGTATTAAGTTGTGATAAGTTTATATAATTAATTTAAATTTATTAAAAAATAAATATATAAATAAATTTTATGTTAAAATATATTATGATATATAAAATTAATTATAAAAAATTAAGAAAAAACAAAATGAAAAATTAATAAAAATATAGATATTAAATCAGAAATTTGTTTAAATTTTAGATATTCCTTATTCTTTAAGAAGTATAATAATATGTTATCTTCTAAAAGGTATTTTTTTAATTTAAAATAATTAATTGAGATAAAAATATAAATGAACAATTTATGAATTGTGTCTCTAAAAAACTTATGAATCGTATTCATAGTATAATACAAAACTACATATTTTCTCCCTATTTTATGTTTTCGAGGTGCTAGAGGCATTTGTAAGTTAGGAAGTCAAGGTAAGAACATTATTTTTCACCTTGAATTAGAGCCAATTTATGACCTTAAATAGTGACTTTCAGGAAGTATATATATAATTTATCAACTTCAAAATATAAATCGATATATCAACAAATATTATCGATTAAAAAAATTGGGGTGAGAGAGGCTCGAACTCTCGACCTCAGGATTACTCAGAAGCTATGAGACCTACGCGCTAGCCAACTGCGCCACCACCCCATGCTTGCTCTGTAGACGATATAAGATTTAAGTATAAATCTGATATGTGATTTCATTTGCTAGATAACTGTGTCCTGTACAAGTACTAGTCCAACTCTGTGTGTGTTTGACGAACCAGACAAACACTGTGACACACAAACACCGTCTCTCATCATTCGTTACAGTTTCAAACACCTCAAGTTTCCGTTTCTTTCTGTGCGGATCTGCAGCACCCACCAAGGTAACTGCATTTCTCCACCTTTCAACCACTCATCAAACTTATCTACAACCGTTTTACCTCGGAACCTCAAAGCTTCTCTTTTGCACACCCATGATTTTGCTTTTTTAATCTGATTTGAGGATAGAAACCCCTTCTTACTTGAACCCCTTTTGGTAGCTAATTTTCCACGCTTCAATTGTTATTTGTTTTGTAGCATAACCATATCACTGTGACCGTGCCCGCGTTGTCATTAATTATAGTTCCCATTTTTCTTGTCTGGTTTCTTCCCAGTGCCACATTATGTACTGTTGCTAGGATCACTTCATAGCTCACACCCTTTGCCACAGATTGTTCCTTTTTCTATGATCTGAGTTTTTGTCATAATTTAATTATTGCTTGTTGAAATGTAGGGATAGGGAATGCATTCTGTTAAAATTTTTAAGAACTGACCCACACAGGAGCTGCATTTCAATTGGCACTGAGTCTTAGGGACGGTCTTGTCCAAATCCCAATGGGGAGTTTCTGAAATGTACTTTAGTTAACCCACTTTCTCCCTTCAGACACCAAGTTGTTGAGCTTCTTTGTAATCGAAAGGGGAAAATGCATCTTAGAATTTATCCAAGTTGTGTCTGTAGTTGTCCTTATTTACGTATCCAAGTGTGTCTGTCGTTCGGTCTTTCTCTCTTTTGTTTGGAAGAGAGTATAAAAAGGAATCTACTTGCTGATCGAAGATAAACATTCGGATGAATTTTCAGTTACAGTGCCTGCATTTATTACTTACTAGTTTGCACTTTATGTTCCAATAGACTAAGAAACACGGACATGGTTACAAGGTTGTATTAGACACGTCTTTGACCGACACATGTCAGCGACATACTTCGACACTAGTCCTATTAATTACAGTAATTATAGTGAATAATGAAGATAAGATAATATATTATCTTCTTTAATATTTTTAGTACATTATGATCTTTTTTCTGTTGAAGATTTGAGTTTTTATGTTTGAGATATTTTGTTTTGTCATGGAAATAATTTATTTCTTGACATAATGCATCCTAACCATGTGGTGTTCTTTTTTTAAAAAGAAAAATGTGTCATGTCCGTGTCTCATGCCTTATCCATGCTTTCTAGCTAATAGAGCTTTGATGGACAAGATGAGTGGTTGATTAGTTGTCAAGATCCCGCATCAACCTGACTATATTACCAAAATTTCCTTTATTAATAACTTCGGCAATCCTCCCTCCTTGAACTAGCTTTTGGGGGCTGAATTAGCCCTAGTCTGTTCTCATCTAATGCAAGCTCTTGGAAGTATTTCAACTTTCTCATGATTACACCTAACGTTCTTAATCAATAATCCCACGTAATGAGTTGTATTAAGTAGGATAATAGGAGCATTGAAGTTGAGGAACATCAGGCCACATTTAGCTCATACACTGTCCAATACAATAGAGGGATTTATCATTTTTTACAGACCTTGTACCCATTCTGTCCTGCATCTAGCCGTGATCCTCTTCACACCTTATGCAGTAAATTTGCCAATTGTAGGTTCCATCTTGCCATGCTTTCATAAGACTAATCATCTGAGGAGGTTAAGCTTATCTGAATAGTGACTGTCTCCAGTCTCAATGGCAGCTAGTTTACGAATTTTTCATTTTAGTGTTTCATTTGCTTGGCACTTCAAAAGGAAGCTCATGGCAAAGAAACCATTTATATGGTTAACTAGCATGTTAGGGTTTGATTTGTGGCAGCTTCATTTTGCTGGAGATTCCATTTACATCTGTTCTTAAGTTTCTGTTCTTTAAGTCATGCATGCCTTTGTTTTATAATGCTCATTTTAGTGTTTCATTTGCTTGGCACTTCAAAAGGAAGCTCATTTTGCACGAGATTTATTAAGTTTGATTTGTGGCAGCTTCATTTTGCAGGAGATTCCATTTACATCTGTTGTTAAGTTTCTGTTCTTTAAGTCATGCGTGCCTTTTGTTTTATAATGCTCGTTTTTGGTAAATGAAACAGCATTCAATACAAGAAACTTTATGTTGCTCCATATGAACTCAAAATACATGTTTGGGATGAGCCAATATGATTCCATGACAAGAAACCACATTCCTAAGTGCATGATTAGACGATAGTCAAATACAAAGGCATACTTAAGGTGATACAGGCTTTAAATCCTTGAGGCGAGGAGTGGTAGAAAGGGCATGCCATACTAAAGAAAGACAATTACAATAGATAAAGAAACAGTTAAATTTTGCATTGATTTTATATAAAAATTAACAACCAAGGATAAAATTCATATTGGAAAATGATACCATTTTACAAAATCGTAAAGCTTCTTGCTGCTAAGAATCTCAAAGACTATCAAATAGCAAGTTAGATGGCTGGCTTTCTGTGGCTTGTTACTTTTATCAATAAGATGCTAGAGGCACGTCTTGCTTGAACTGGATAGGTGCTGGCCTCTTTAGGCACTGCTTGCCTTTGACTATCCTTCTACAAGATTTTAGGGAAAATAATACAAAAAGAAGAGGGATAAAAAACTAAGAGAAGAGAATCACCATTTGCACCATGAGCAGGATAGTTTTTTACATTTTGCTGGATTACTATAGAATTATGTTTTCTAGTTTTATGATTGTTTATTTAATTTTGACTTTCTTTTATTCCAGGTTTCCAAAAACCATATTTGTTATCTCCAATTTTTTTTTTCCTTCCACAACATGTGCATTCATTTTAAATTTTGACTTGTCCATTTTTCTTTGGGGATGTGGATGGAGCATAGTCCAAAAAGTGGTCTCTTAATTTTATCTCCGTGCACCGTTTGCTGAATCTTTGTTTATTGGTTATTATATAATATGATTGTGATTCTGGAAAGGGTACTAAAGCCTAAAGGGATGTAATACAGACTAAAAGGATAACTTGCTCTAATGAAAATATGAGATACTTGCATGAGAATTACTTGGAATGGTTTTTTCAATTTCATCCTAAGCTAACTTGATTATGCAGATGCTAGCTCTATTTTGAAAATGGAAAACAAGCAAAGTGCCAGTGTAACGCTTGAGAATTCTGTCATGAAGTCTGTTGATCAAAGAGTACGCAAAGGGCGTAATGACATATTGACACGACGTCTGAAGAATCGAGAGAGACAACGTAGATACCGGGCACGTAAGCGACTAGAAGCTGAAACCAAGAAGTCTTTTGCTGTAGAAGAAACAGCAGCTGTGAAAGTAGAACTACAACCTGATGGGAATCACAACAGTTTCATGTCCCGCATATATTGTAAACGCGATTGGAAAAAGGATGCAAGAAGGGCTCATGTTTTAAAGCAACAAGAAAAGAATGTATCTATTGGTCTCTCTTCGACCCTAACTAGTATACCTGAGGTGACATGCTTAGCCGTTGTAAACAAATCAGAAACCATGCTACAGAGGAAAATTCAGTTTGGATCTTCCAGTGTTGTTAATAATGAAACTCCTAGAGTTGTGTTGGGTCGTAGAGATTGGAAAGCAGAAGCTAGAAGAAAGAAAAACTAGTTTTTTCCCTTTCTTCTTCTAAATGATATCTACCCTAGTGGACTTTTTCTGTTGTATAATAGACTTTATATAATATAAAGTATGTTGGATAACTGCTGTTTCATTACTTGGCAGGCTTTGAAATTATAAGCACCGATGAAAATCTAATTTTCTCTTACTCGTTCATACTAACTTTTCTTTGCAGATGTAGAATGGGCATTAAAGAACTTACCTAGATCATTGCTTGATCTTTGGCTTAGAACTGAATCAGAAGATCTTCTCCAGTGAATTGTATGACATGCTATGTGTTCATGGAGTTTTCAAATGTTCCCTTGTGCAATGCATGTTTCACAGACAAGCTACCTATCTTCTTCGTTCTTGTTGAGTGTCTTGTGTTCTTTCTCATGTAAAAGGCAAGAATGCTTGTAAAATATCTTCTAAATCCTTAGGCTTGCGGCATAATTTTTTTTTTTAAGTTACTATTTTTATATGTTTAAACTCAACTTTGAAGTTTTAGAGTTAACAAAATAATGTTTAAAATTTGGGTATCGATTTACGAGATCGAGCTAGAAACCTAATGAACAGTTGTGTTTTTAATGTGTCGTGGTGCCTATCAATCTTTTTATTTACATACATATAAAAAATACATTTAAAAAAATCTTTTTGTTGACCCATTTAATTGTTTAACAAAACATTATCCCTCACCTTAAAGCACCAAAAAATTCAGACATAGTATTCCAATGTACACAGCAGAGAGATTGATAATCAGTTTGAATGAAATTAATAAATTGAATCATGAATTACAATGAAATTGGAGAAAAGAAAAACAAAAATTACAAGGGACATGAATTATACATGGTATGGTGCAAAAAAAGCGCTCATGATTTTCACAAGGCGCATGAAACACCATATTTCATAACACCCATCCACTCTATCCCTGGTCCCCAATCTTTACATCCCCCAGAAAGAAAGTATACACAATGCAGAAAGAGGCCAAATATGAAACAATGAATGAAGGTATAGAACAATAATGTCATGGATTTGGTCTTGCTTTTTAAGCCACATTCTCAAAACTCCAATTTCTTCTCATTCCACTGCTCCTCACCAATTTTGGTTCTGAGCTGCCAGGAAAGGGAGCATTTCCTGTACTATGAGCGCGGCGATGATCGGCTTTAATCTTGCCCACAGCACCACTTTTTGGTAGCTCACATTGTTGGGGTGGTGGTGATATAGTCCCTGACCAGGTTCTATCAACCCTTTTGCTCACTTCCATATATTCCTTTTCTGGGAATAACTCCGTGAATGAGTCTGTCCTTTGAAGCATTTGGCTGCAGGTAAGGCAATTGAGACTCATTATGGTGTTTCTTGTGTCCCGTCCCAAGTAACCAAACCCACCTCTTCCTTGTGTTTGTTGATTGGTGGTGGATGATGTGGGCAGGGATTGAGTTTATATAAAATTAGGCCTAAGGGATTAATCAAGTTATGGGTTGTATAAGGGAGGATTTCATCATGAAAACTGAAGAGAACAAGTTGTTGCTATATTTTAGCATGCATTTCTAATCCGTGAACATAGCTTAGCCATGCATTTCTAATTGGGGTATATGGTTGGTTGCATTTACTATTGACCAATGACCCTTTGATTCCACTTGGATTTGTTTTTACTATCTTCTACAATCTAGATTCTATGACAAGTCATTTTGTCAATGATGATTTATTAGCAGAGCCACATCATTCACCCTTGTCATGCAACTCGTTATCTTTTTATGATCTTTCACTTGATACTGGAAGTTGCGTTGACAAAGTTTAGGCTTTTGAGGGATTATTTCGGTTTTCTTATCATACAATTTCCGGGGTGTACGCCAAATTTAAGATCTTTTGCAGTTATAAATTTTAGAATTAGCTTGTTGGCAGCTTGGTACCAACTCAAGTCCTAACCATGGTAGAGAATGGGCTTGCGTTTTCACTTATACTACCCCAAAATCGGATTTGTATTTGTGCTGGCAAAACTCCCTCTATTTTAGCTGCTTTTAAAATTAACACAGGTTTGTGGCTTAATGTAAAGTACTACAGATCAATATAGCAATTCTAATTGTTTGTCTAATCTGGAGTAACAGCTTTTTAATATAAGGGTAATGAAAATAAATCTATATATTTATAAATTTATACTTTACTAAAGCAAAATATTATTATTATAAAACTTTTTTTGTTGACGAAATAAAATTGATTATTTATTCTTTGCTCACATAATTCAGATTACAAACAAACTTGCTAAAATTGGATTGCTCATTCGTCCACTCCCTTGTCATATTAATAACCTATACCTATTTACTTTATATTTTTTATAAAATTTAAATACTTTTACTCACTCCAATATACTCAATACCAAAATTAATATAACGAAAATTGACTGTTAGAATACTACCAGAGAAATTATTATGGACGGTATTTTTTTTCTCCTTTCCTTTCCCTTTCTTGAGGGCTTTTTTGTGGGTTTCTTTCATGTTATCCTAGGCTCCTATTAGTCAGTTTTTCGTTTTTCTTTTATTTTTTTCAGAAAAAAGAGAAAAAAGGTTATTATAATTGATATATTTAGCTACGCAATTTATTCAACCTGTAGTGTAGAAAGGCTTGACCCTCATTGTCAATGGCCTAGTGTATTTTCACTCAGCGAGCTTGAAATTTTTTTGGCAATATCTAGCTTCATTTGAGTTTTTTAATCTTTCTCTTTTGTCAAAGTGAGATTTTTAATCTAATAAAACAGATTATTGTCCAAACCCATCAAATTTTTGTAAGAAAATATGCATATTAAATGTACATGGTTGTTAGACACTACATAACCATTTGGGCCAGTTCAAGTAAAAAAAAAAAAAAGATTTTGGTTCCACCTTGTATGACATATAAAGACGATGAAGCGTTTTATGATTATTTAGTACAACTATTATTTTTTCCTCCTTCGAGGTTTTTCCACAACCTTGATGACGAGAGAATAATGTTTTTTAAGGTAATGAGATCGTTTCTTCCTACAAGTGTTTCGTATATTTTTTCTTTTTTTTCTTTTTTTTGTCAAAGAATCGTGTAGGCTTGAACCTGTGAAATTGTAAAATATTTCGTGATCTGCTCTGACCTTAAGTTTATTTATTACTACATTTAAATTTATGCAAGTACACACACAGGCAATAGTGTATCTTAATTGGACTTGATTTAAATAATATAAGACTAATTCCTTTCAGATAATGTCTCATTTTCGAATCTTATTTGTAATAGAAATCCTTTGCTAAAAATCCTAAGTTAACTGTATTGTAGATATTTAAAACAATATATATATATATATTTCAAATAAAAATATTATTATTTGGTACGATTTACAAGTTAAAATTGTAATTATTGTATATATTTCATAATTATGTTAAAGCATTTTAATTAAAACAGCAAACACTAAAGAATAAATACATAAATAACTGAGCAAAACTTTATGTACTCACAAAGTAAAATGTTTAATTTGAACCCACAAAATTGATTTTGTTTTAATTATGTATAAGTATATTTTTATTTCTTATTTTTTTAAATAAGTATTAGTTTTTTTGCTCTGTATATATAAATTTTGAATTTTCTTTAAAATTTTTTTAATAATATATATTTTACAAAAAATATTTAATTTAAATTTTAAAATAAAAAATGAAAAAAAAATAACTCTATGACAAAAGTGCTCAAAATCATTCTTAAGATCTATACAGTTCTCTTAACCCCACCAGCCTAGATTTTTCTGTAAGCAAATATCCTGCTTTCTGCTTAATCAACGAATTTCGACAACAACTTGAAACTTCAGAGAATTTTTTGAATTCTCAGAATCTTGGGATTCATCATGTGTCGTTGTTAATGCATGAATCTTAATAAAAACCACCAAGCAAATTAAGGGTATTCTCTCTTGAATTAATAAGATTCGAGAGAGTACGAAGGTTGAAATTTTTACACTTGAAAGGGGAAAAAAGAATTTCCTCGTATACCTTAGAGTTGAAAATGTAACAATGCTTCTTGTATGACATTTTTTTAATATTAAAAATATATTTGTAATTTGCTAAAATTTGAACTCTCCCATTAAAAAATATTTTTTTATAAAATGCATTTTAATAATTTATCATTGCACTTGCAAATACAATTCAATAGTTGGTATTTTACTCTATTTTTAACAATACAGTATCGTGTTTTCATTTTTCTTTTTCTTTTTTCTAAATGCTATTAACCTAGCGATCGATTGTCACAATCATTGACACTGTGTATTTTATTTCAGCAATATATAATGACAAGTACCCTCGACAATATGACTTCAATTACGCATGGCTTATCACCTAATTCTGCTATTTTTCTTTACAAAATTGTTTCGTTTTGACAAGAGAATCACGATGAATGTATAAATGTTCAATGTTTATAATTATGCGTCGGTATTCGTATTAAAAGAAGAACAAAAAAAGAGTTCCTTGTATTCATTATGCACATTTCAAACGTGCATTTATTGCTCACTTTAGACAGCCATACCCGTATGAATTCATGTAAGATTTATATTTTTGAATGTTTTTCAATAGCAGATTAAAAAGAAAAAGAAAAAAAAAGTTTATATATAGAGTGAACTTGGAAAGTTATAAATATAATATTTATACATAGCTAAAATATCATTATCTAACTTTTTTTGGGTAGTTGATTTTATTTTTTATTGTGTATAACCATTATGTAATTGAAAAACATGTGCCAAATACTTAATTTTGTTATTAAAGGAATAGAAATCAATTGTATGAAGAAGACAAGAAGATATTAATCCCTATCATTGGGTACATTGGATGTTAGTGGTCTAATAATAAAGCCAACTTGACGTGGATTTTGTGTAGTTGTGCTACATATGGTGGCTTATATTCTGTGGTCCACTTCTTCAATTTTGAATCAATCATTCAATAAAAGTAACTTCGATGTGATGTAAAATTACATAGGTTATATAATTTGTTATATGTTTGAATTTGTTTAAAAAGCTATTTTGATAATTAATTATATGAAACAAATTTATTATATTTGGATTATATAGAATAATTATTCTTCTAGGTTCAAATTGTTTTAAAAAGTTATAATATCAAGTCTAATAATTAATTTTATAATTAAATAACTAATTATCAATAAGAAAACTAATAATTCTTAATTATAAACTCTAAATTTTCCTTATCTTAAATAAGCTGTTTTTTTATATAAATAAATAGTTAATTTTAAAAACTAGCTACTAATAATTTTTTATTACATTTAAAGAAATATTTAACTTTTAAAAATTATAAGTCTTAGATACTTGATATAGTTATTATAAAATTATATCAATATTAAATTTTGTATAAATAACAAAGATATTGATAACTTACGATAATATTTTTATTCAAAGATAAATTAAATTATACTAGTATACACTCACTTTACACTATTTAATAAATTTTTATTTAATAATTTATTCATAAAATCAACTATTTAGATTAAAAATTCCAATCACATAAATCTTTCATAAAAAATAGTTAATTTAAAATTATTTAATATTTTATTCATATATATATATATATATATATCAAAATTAATGTAATGTATACTTTAAAAATATATAAAAATAAGAAAAATTTTATTACATTATTACATTTATTCAATTTTAATGAAACTTGATAATATATAATTATAATTTAACAGTGATAAAAAATTTATTTAATATTAAATTATTGACCATGTAAAACTAAGTATGACTTATTTCTCTTTTTTTATTTATATTCAATCATGATTTTTTTTAATACTTTTTAGAGGCAAAAGCTAGCAATAGAACGATAATGATAACAAACTAATACAAATATCAGCTATATTAAAATAAATATATAATAATTTTAAAAAAGTACTGTATTCACGTATTTTGTTGTATGTACCCGATTACTCATATTTGTACGCGTGAAACATACAAAGGTCCAATTCGATTATATAATAAACATCTAGAAAGCTGTTCAACTAACTTTATCAAAACGCCTTCATTATTAAGCTTGGATGAACATAAAGCATAAACAAACCCCACGTAAGATTAAATATGATACATCTCAATCGCATCAGATTAAGTGAACAAAAAGGAGATAAAACATGACGCTCCCCAATTTTCTCCAGAGCACGCAATCTTTTTTCATCTGTATGGGATTTCCCGTTGCTTGGAAATGGCATGTACTCATCTATGATCCTGAAAGATTAATTAATTTACTAAACAAATTGTGGGAAAATTTTATATTTTTCTACATATTTTACTTAACAACGATGGGGATCGCTTATCTTTTCAGTCATCTACCGATAGCTACGGCTATCTACTTGCCATTAATTATTTGCCCCTTCATCACATCTCTGTTCACTCTATATATGTATACCATTATTATGCGGGGACATGACCCTTTGAATTTTAGACATCTGAAACATTTATATAATCTTTTACAAACCAAGCATTATTTTCCCTTGGCGGCCTAGCACAAATCATCATAAAAGTCATCACTGAATTTTATAGATGAAACAAAGTAATGCGGGGGAAATGATATAGATAGGTAGATTTTACTCGCTTCACTTCAAAAGTAAAGAATTTAACTTTAGGTTGTTAGAAGTAAAGGGCTTAAAACTTCTAAGTTTGGTAAAAGTCAAGATGGAACCAAAAGTGTATATAAGATTTTTTAGAAAAATAACAATAAGGGGGCATAAACATAAAACAAACATATGCTGAGTTGCTATTCCACCAATTCTTACCAAGTGCACAATTCTTATCATGGACGTTAGGATATAGCGGTTCCTTTGTTATGTTTCTTCCGTCTCTAGATGGACTTGTATCATGCATCCTGCGTCAGTTTTGTCAAAGCCAGATGGGTACTTTTTGCTTGAACGCCTTCTATAATTGTCGCCATGCATTATGCTTTCACTGGAAAGCATAGAACAGCCTGTGCCTTTGCTACGACCTTAAAGGAGAAAGTGGATTTTACAGCTCACCCTCAACAGAGAAAGGGGAACCCATCACTTTTGGTAACAAATCCGAAGGATTATTGCTGAAGGCAGTTAAAGACGCCCACACGGGGAAAACTGTGAAGAGCATTAACATAGTAAAAGCCTTCATTAATCGTGGCAATGCATCTTCGGTTTGTTGAGATAAGTTAGTAATGAAATTATTTATTTATTTAAGTGGAAAATTCCATCATTACAACACACATGGCTGGATTGAACTCTTGTCTTTCAGTGAGCAATAATATATTTAGAAGATGTTAACATAACTTGAACATAATTTTTTTAGTCCAAATCAGCTCTATTCCGTGATTCCTAAAATGCCAAAAAGTCAAGCGTGTTGCTAGTAAAGTACGCAAAGCCATACATCGATAAAATAGGCTCCATGTATAACAATTTAACATAGCATAAATAGTTGGTAAACGCATCAAAACCAGATTCCAATTCCACGTTGTTTTTAATGTAGTTAAAGAGAAAGAACCACACCCTTTTCGGTCTCTTTCTAATGGTGGGGTGATGGCCATTCCTGTGCATGTTGGCGCTTCAGATTCCACAAACACATACATGCCATAGCCTCGTACAGAGACAACTTTGGACTACAGTTGTATTCAACACCCTCTTTTTTTCCCTTAATCCTACCATGCATGTCGGAAGACATTTTCATTGTCAAAGTTGGTAGGGTCAGAACATTACTTAGTTACCAGAATACCTGAACAGGAAAGTGGCTTACCAGATGGGAAAAAATTACCCAGAGGACGAGCAAGTAAAAAACTTGAAAACATAGCAAAGATGTAGACACGCTCAAAAAGAATTACCGTCAACCTAAAGATGGAGAAGGATGAAGGATTTTCTGTTGGTATGCATTTTTCACATGGCTAAAAAGAAACAACTCGAAGCAGATAGAAAATTGTTGTTGACAGACAACCACCAAGGGTTCAACTCAATCACAAAAAAATCAAACTTTTCCCATGACAGATCAGACAACCAAAACACATAATGAACTTTATCAACAAGAATTCAAAAACGTTTTCTTCTACGATTTTGTAACAAATTAACAAGAAAATCCAATAAGAAGACTCATTTTGCATGTCGTCATGCTCGAACCAAAAATAACCCAAAAAAAGAGAAAAAGAAAAGAAAAGAAAAGCAGAACCAACCATGGCTTGATTGGCATAAACGGAATGCAATTAATAACTGATTATAAGCTGAAGAAGAACATCGAGAAATTTTATGATGATCACATTTATGAAAGCTATATAATATATACACAATCTAGACACATAAAAATACCCCTATTCTTGATTATGCCTATCTCCTCCGCCCACGAAAACTGTCCCTAGCTAGTTGATCTAGTCCCTGGAGCTTCCCAACTGAAACTACCTCAAAATTCATGAAGACTAAGCTACCAAAAAAGAAAGAGGTTATTATACAGAAACAGCTACCGGGAAGGCTTAAAATATCCCAGAGCTCCACAACTGCATGAAACTTAAGAGCTAACGAGACAGACACATACAAATACATATTAATTACTCCCATTCCCACCCAATGCACCAAACTCAAGACCTATCGAACATCCCCAACTTTGGACGACAGTGCCGACCGAAGCTGTTCCTGCGTGTAAAACCTACTCCCCATCTTCACTGTCGCTTGTTGGATCATCAAATCATTCACCACCGACACACTCGCGTGGTGCACGTCCAAATCCAACTCCATCAACGCTGCCATCAACCTCGCTGCAGGGTGGTTCTTCTTGCTGCATTGGATCCTTATCATCGCGTCCCACCCAATAATCTTCACGTCGATATCCAAGTCAATTAAGGCGGTATTCGATGACTTATTAGGAGTAGGATTAGGAGAAGAAGAGTTCTCAGTGGTTTTCTCAAGTTCTTGCTTCACTGCGTCAAGTTGCTTCTGCAACCCATCTTTATCCGATTCCAGGCTTTGAAGCTTCGATTTCAGCTCCGTAATGTAAGATATTGCGTCCCCAAGAAGGGAAGCTTTGTCCATCTTTGACACGTTCGGAACCACCGCGCGAAGCGCGTAGAACCTCTGGTTCAGCTTCTCTCTCCTCTGCCTCTCTGCTTCCACGTGGTTCAACGGTTCCTCTCTTCCGTTCGCCGGCTTCCTCCCCCTCTTCCTGGGACGCTTTTCCGGTTCCACCACTGTGCTGATATCAGGATCCTTCACCACAGAAGCTTCGAGATCCGAATGATCGGAATCACCGCCTCCGCCGCCGGTGGACTTCAAATTCGTGGCCGGAAGAATCACGCCGGAGGTGAAGGAGAGCATCCCGTCGTCGTTGCTGCCCCTCGAATTTGGCGACCTCTTCTTCCCGTTGTTGGTGTTGGTGTTATTCTCTTCAGCAGCCGCAACGAACTGCGACTGGCCGGAGAAGAAATGAGAATTTCCGTTCACGCCGCCGAAAGAATTCCTTTTGCTCTCACCGAAGCTCAGAATCTCGCCGGATTCTGGTTTCAGAGAATGCTGGTTACTGTTCCCATTCTTGCCGTCGAAACCGTACTCGGAGAAGTTCAATTCCCTGGAGAAGATGCTCTGGTTCTGCGAGGGTTGGTGAATCGTGTGAACAGAACTTGGGGTTTCGGTTAAAGTACTTGAACCTGGGGTTTCAAACTGCATCGTCTTTGAAATTCCTTGATTGGTAGGAATTGAAACGGAAACTGAAACGGAAGGGGTAGCAGCAACGGTGTTAACGGAATCCCTAACTTCGGGATCGCTGAGCCAGAGCGAGGAAGGGTCGTTCTCGCCTTGATCGGCGGTGCTAGCAGTTAACGGCCACGACGAACCCACATCAAGATTACTGTTGAAATTGAAGAGAACCTTCACCTTGTTCATCAGATCCGAATTCTGATAAATCAGCTCCGTGGAACCTAGTTCAACGACGCCATTGGCTGAAGGTATGCATACCAGAGTCTGCAGCCCGAACACCTGTCCCTGCCGCGCCCTCTCGCACGGCGAGGCGGAGAGACGGTCGGCGCCGGTGACCCAAACGGGGGCGGAATTGAAGAAGGCCTGACCGGGCAACCCGCCGCCATTGACGAAGGACTGGGTCATGGAAACGAGGAAAAACCACTCGGTGTCAGTGACCTCTTCGTCGACGTCGTCGGAGGAGGCGGCGGAGGAGCCAGAGATGAGGGAATTGAGTTCGCGGAGGACCTTTTTACGGTAGTCTTGGTCGGCGTAGGAGGTGGCCTTGGCCTTGGCTTTGGCTTTGGCTTTGTCGTCGTCGCCTTTGTAGTAACCGTCGCCCCAACCGAGGAGTGAGGAGCCGGCGTAGTCGTAGGAGGATTGCCAGAAGATGGCATAGGTCCAGCTCTCTCTGGCGCCCTCCATGAGGGCCTGGAGACGCTGCTGGAGAGTGTCCTGGTTGAAGACAGCGGTGGATTGTGGCGGCGCCGGCGCTGGCCATATGGAGGAGAGATCGGAGGAGGACATGAATGCCTCCATGACGGAGGAGTTATCGTCCGTCCACAGATTCATTCCCCCGCTGAGTTAAAGGTTGGTGTTTCGGAGTTTACAAGCGAAGTTGCAGTGGCGCTGGTAATGGGGGTTTGAACTCTGAGAAGAAAGAGAAAGAGAGAAAATTTGAAGGGGAAGATAGTTTTTTGTTCAGAACAAGGTGCATTTGGGTTTGGAATTTATTTGGAGTGCATTTAGGTTGAATTTTAATTTAATTTTAGGTTACGCAAGAGAGGGGAGAGTGAGAGAGTGAGTGCGAGGCTTCCACGAAACCAAAATGGCCACGCCGAGTTATTCACAATTACACGGCGTTGTATCGCAATGTGTTTGGCTCTTCAGTTTAGGAATCCAACTTCTGTGCTCGTCTTTGTTTTGTTTCTTCTGTTATTGCTTTTTTAGTAAATGTTTTGGTGAGTTGGATATGATCGTAGTTAAGGTATCTTTTAAGGCTAAAAAATATGTATGCATATAAGTAAAAGTTCAATTTAGTTGAATATAAATTCAATTTTATTAACTCAATAAACTTTCGTTAGCTTTGTTATTGTTAAGTGAATAAACTTTCGTTTGATAACAATTTGCCGGGGGGTTGTTATTATAAAAATAAAAAATACATATACAACGGATTTGACTTCCATAACAATTTTATGTCAGAATATTTTTTAAATTAAAAATATATTTTTAAATAGAAGTTGTGTTCATGAATATAATAAAAATATTTATTATAAAAATTATTAAAAATCTTTTATTTTAATAATTGATATATTATAAACGCACTGATGACACTTGGCTTTAAACAAGTGTTAGTTGGGCACTGGGAATCTGGGACCTTCGTTTAAATATCTTTTTCTTTCTTATAATTATATGGAAGACAGAAAAATTTGCACCTGCAATTGTCTTGCCCTGGTGCGGCGTGGGACAATTATCGAAGACTGCACCAAATTTAACACGGCCCTCAACAAATGAGGACCAGTGTCGCTTTATAACGCTAAAAAATCATTGCATTATTGTTACAAAAAGCAAAAGCAACGAGAAACAAAAATAACAATAAACCTCACCTTGTTATGATTAGTAAGGTTCTTGTATACTATATAAATATTTGTTAGTTTATTATTTCTTTTGTACGAAATTATATTCGCTAAAAAGTCTTTTAATTTTTTTTATCAATATTTTATAATAAGGTAAGGTAAAATATAATTTAAACAATTAAGAAGGTGATACATTATAGTCTAAATTTATAAAATTTTCATTAAATATTTGTAAGAGATAAAAATAAAAATAGCAAAAAGAATAAAAATAAAAGAAATTATAATTCTTTTATAAATAAAAATATTTTTTTATTATACTTTTTTATAATATATTTTATTTAATTTATCTAAAATATTGTATTTATGAAATAATAAAATTCTGGTCATAAAATTTTAATAATATATAAAAAAAATATTTCACCTTTTTTTCTCTGAATACTTATCTGTAAAATTACCTATTTATGAAACTCACTTATCAATATATAGATTTGTCCAATGTTATATCTTTAAGATGAGGTGTACATATGTAAGGCGTATAAATATGTAGTCTATATTTCTCAATTTCTTTATTTTTAATTCCCTAGATTCTCGGCGTCATAATTATTTGTGCTCTTAACAAATAATTTATTAATATCTAAATTTTGACATTAAAAGTAATACAACGATTAGATAGGGTGTACATAAAATCACAAATAAATAATTATAACAGTTATTATAATGCTTTTATTATTTTAACGATATAAACTTCAATTTAGAAGGAAAATAGAGATTAAGAGGTATTCCTCTAAAATAAAAAACGAGGTAAATTGAAAATTTATTTCCGACATAGTTTCAAAAGTTAGTAATACTTATATTTCAATCAGTAGCGGATAAAATTTCAGTTTCTCATTTTAGATCTTCTTTAAAGTTTAACTTTAAAGAACCTCAATCCTAACAGGTGACCTATAACGTGACACACGGACGCCTTATTTTATATCATGATATCCAATAATAATAAATTAATAATGTAAAATACTGTTTAATTTAATTAATTTTAAACATAATAAATTTTTACCACCTTAATATCCATAATATGGATAGTTTAGAATCTCAATTGTCTTATTTGTATTAATACAGTACAAAATAAAAACATCATTATATAATCTCGAAATATGCAACTGAAAAATATTAATTTTAATGCATTATCGGTATAATGTGTAAAGCCACTTTCGTATCATGGCAGGACTCTAAATTTTGAATTCCATTTTTAAAATCCTTTGCATTTATTTAATAACTAGAGATTAGAAATTGCAAAATAGTATCAGGAAACAATTTTGAACTATTAAATATGTATATATACATAAGCATTAATTAGTCATATGATTAAAACTATTTTAGTTAATTGGGTTTTAATCACATAACACTCTAGCCAAGTCACTTCTCACTTCTCACACTAAAGTAGCGGAATCGAAGCTTACCTCGAGTGGGTTTCCACGAAAAAGTCCCCACGCTGAAATCGCTCCAAAAATCGCACTACGCGTTTCAAATAATCGCCGTATCATTGGACCAAACATAATTTGAGCTTGAATTTTTTTTATAGAATAAACATTAATTTAATATGAGAAACTATAATTATTAGTAATTTTAATATTTAAAACAATAAAAGAATTATTTTTTAAGACTAATGATTATCCATTTAGAATTGCTAGTCTTTTATTTATCCCTAACATCAATGCGTAAAATAAGTAACTAATAACAATTAAATTAACTGATATTTTCCTAAAAAAGATTAATGGTTGTTGAATTCAACGACCAAATTAAGAATTATCATCAAATTGAAGACTGAATTGATTGATTTAATAACATTAAAAATTAATTTAAATATCAACATAATTGACAATTACTAAAACTAAAGACGATTTTTTTTTTGGTAGAAGAGAAAAAAAAAAGATAAACAAAACAAAAGATAAAATTTTAGAGATTCGTAAGGTCTATCATGGATGTTATATCTTTTAAAGTTTAACGAGATCATTTTTTTTCCCTTAACCTCATTCATTTTCTCTCTCAGATAGATGAGCTGAAACTTTTGTTGCCTGTAATTTTACTTATGCAGCGATCAAATGAAAGTATTTTTTTCAAATGATAAACCTTAAACTTTATATCTAACAAATTATAACAGAAGTGTCCCATTCTTAAATATCAGAATCAACACAGAGAAATAAAACTAGTCTACCCAGTATCCTTGTTATGATTATATATATACACACATAAATAAATAGCATATATAAGAATTTATTCCTGGCTTCTCAACAGGGAAACCATTAGACCAGGCTACAGACAAATATACCAGTCACTTGATTATTCTTTCATGTATTAAATTAACTCATAATATATAAATGCATAAAATATAATATTAAACATGTTATCACATATAAAATTTATTTTCTTTACGTAAAATTTTAGATTCAGATCTTATGAAAAAATATATATTAATAGAAAAAACTGAATTATGTTATAATTTTTTAAATTAGAGCAAGCATGCTGCCTCAAATGGAGGATTCTTATGATTCTGATCCAAAAATGTTCTCAAATGTATGACGAGCCTCACATAATATATTTTTTTTAGACACTCTCTCAGCATTCATGTTTTCTTTCTACTCCTCTGAGCTCGCTTTCACGTCTAACTCCCATATAAAGGGGTCGTTCTGATTTAATAAGATCTCTGCAACTTTTGATTAAAAAAAGAAAAAGAAAATACCTGCCACTTGCGTGAAAACGAACCTACTTTTTATTTTGTTTTTTGTCTTAGAATATTGCTAACCATTATTGTGTCACGTTTTGCTTGATGCGAGTCGTGTATATAAACTGCTAATTTTGTTTTGTTTTTTTCTCTTATTCACGTGTGTATAATAACGAAAGACAAAATTGAAGCATATATACAATTTTTATTATTATATTTTAATTAATATTTTACTTCAATAATATGGACAACAAAAATTAATACATATTATTAAAAAAATTGTAACTTTAATTATAAAATAACATAAAAATATTTACTGTAACTAAATTTTATCCAATAGTATAATACCATCTTCCCATGTGAAAACCGCTCTTACCTTCTCACTTCTTACGTGGTATCCATAATATACTCCCCCACTAATTGATTTTGGAGTATTCCAATGACCATAACAGAGTATCATACATCGTAATATTAACGTGTTATCACTTCATGCATGGGATTTTATTATGCTATGTTTGGATGAAATAAGGAGAAAAACAGTATAAGGTTAAGAAATAAATAAATTATACAATAAAACTATTATTTGAATAGATTAAAATAAAGAAGAGAAAATTAAAAAAAATAAAATTGTATTACAAATTTATTTGTAATAAAAAAATTAATCCCAAAATAACAAACTTTGGCTTATAATATCTTTTAAATAATAAACAAATATTTTTTAAAATTATATAAAAGCTATCTAAATTAAAATTAAATAATAAACAAATAAATCGACAAACCGTGTTTCTCTTCCCCCTTTTCTTTCTAAGTTGTGATTTTTTTTAATTACTCAAAGTGATTTCACGTATAAATTAAGAAGGTTTATTATATTTTTCCTTGAAGTTTTGTTAGATTATTTCTTACATTCAGAACAAATATTTCTTATGAATAAGTATTGTTCAGCAAATTTGTAAAAATTAATTATTTTACTACAAAACTCAATTTTGTTTACCATTTAAACTCTCTTTCTCTAAATAATATTAAATCAACTGAATGGCTTGTGCAAATCTGACACCAGTGTCTATATGTACTATTTGTGATTCAATTAATTTATTATTTTTAAAAACCTTAGACTTGAAGCACATATGTATAAGGTGTGTTTAATTATAAGGCTATTTTTACACAATAATTATAAGAATAAATTTAAAATATATAATCATATACGAATAGCTATAGCATTAATTAAAATTATATAGTCTATTGTCTCTCAACTAATATCAATTTCAAGATTAACATCTGGTGAATAATTATGTTAATTTTTTATTTTATACTATATTATAATTTGTCATTTCCTAATAAAGTGTTTACACTATTTATGAAAAAAGTTTAAATATTAAATTTTAAAAAATCACTAAGGTGTTATAACATGTTTCAAATTTAAATAATATTTATAAAAATACTTACATATGACATTTTATTTTAATGTTAAAAAAGGCGTGTTAACACCTTTGGTCTTA